CTTTCTTTCTGCCTCATCTCGGGGTCCACAAAGTATTATCTGGGCCTTTGAAAGACCCAGTGTCTCCCATAGCCCAAAGCGCAGTGGCCCAAGCCCAGCCTTACTGCGAGTCTACTATGCCAGGTCCTTCATCTGCACAGAACACCCCGGGCAAGCTCAAACCTCTACGGGGCTCCTCTGAGCATGCTGACTGGGTTTGAGCCTGCGGGAGTACTTGGGGTGGACTGGGGCTGGGGGCTCTGTGACTTGATTGAGGTTGTCTGTAGCCAGGAAGGGTCTGGATCCTGGTAGTCAGTATGGCAGGATGCAGCTCCTGGCCCTGTGGCCTGCAGTTTGAGTTTCCCGCGACAAGGAGAGGGACAAGGGGAACTGGGGTGGGGCAGGGGGTGGGGGTCATTGGTGCCCGCCCAGGCAGGACCAGACATGTCAGTTGCTGTACGCAGCCGGCAGTCTGGCTGCTGAGAGCTGCCTCCTCCAGTTTCATTCAGTCTCCCTCCCTGTCTGGCCAACAAGGCCTGTGGCCCGTAAAGTTCTGCGCCCTGTGTCAGCACGTTAGTCAGCCTTCTCGGCCCAGGTGAGCCACCACGCTGAAGAGTCCCTATAAACTCCCTGGCGTGGCCCGGCCCTGCCGAGTGGAGCCCGTGAGGCCCACAGGCAGAGCCAGGGCCCCAAACTTCAGCGCTACGGGCACCAGCCAAGGGGCAGGGCAGGCACTCCGGGACTACAGGAACAGAGGGCCGAGCGTGGCATGGAAGCAAGCAGCCACCGTGGCCTCCCATGGACACCCTTTGAGCTGGCCTGACTGAGGCCGGCTAGTTGATGAACCAGGCCCCCTGGGAGCAGACAGCTGGTGAAAGAGGTGCCGGATCCGGGGCCATGTCTGGGAAACGAGGTCGGACCCGCAAATCCCGAGCCAGGAGGGCAGGCAGGACCCAGCGGGCAGCTGTGCAGCAGGGCCCCGAGACTGAGCCCCCGCCCCCTGCTGCCGGGGCCCCTCAGGGCAAAGTGGAGGTGGCCCCTACTGAGCACGTGACCAGCATTGAGCCAGCTTGCCAGGGACACCCCAGGGTGGCCAGGCCAGAGCAGCTACAGGCAGCCTCAAGGCCAGTGCAGGCCGCGGCTCCAGGGTCTGAGCTGGTGCTGGACCTTGCTGGGCACATGGAGGGCTGTGGAGCAGGGGGTCCCATGCCTGTACTGGGCCCCGAACTGCTGAGGCTCCATGAGGTCCAGCTGTGCCTGGCCCAGGAGCAGCTGCTGCTGGAGGACCGACAGCGGCAGGTCCAGCTGCAGATGCAGCTGTGGCGGGAGGAGCAGCTGTGGCTGCAGCAGCTGCAGGAGGAGCAGCAGTGGCTGCAGCAGCTGCAGGAGGAGCAGGCCTGGGCACACATGGAGGGGCTGCAGCTAGCTGTGGCCCTCGAGCAGCTCCGGAGCGAGGGCCTCGAGGCACTGCAGACCCAAGGCCAGGTAAGGCCTGGAGGGCGGAGTGGGAGGAAGGGGGCTCAGACAGTGTTGGCACAGTGACCACTTGAGCGACCTACAGATGCCTGTGGAGGGCCAGGAGGCCAGGCTGGAAGCGGGTCATCTTCACTTTTGCCAAGTGAAGCTGGTGGCCACCACACAGGGCACTGCAAGACCCAGTGACAGCAAGCCTGCCAGGCTGGCCCAGTGCTTGCTGGATAGAGGGCACTGAGGGAGGTGCTTGTTCAGGGACAGAGGTATCCCCGCAGCGGACCCAGGCATGCTGGGCCAGAGTTGTCCAGGTAGGGTATGGGCTGAGGTGTGGGGTGAGGGCCTGGGTACACAGCAGGTAAGGGAACCGAGAAATGCAGGCCCCCTGGCTGGCTTGGTGCCTGGCCCCTGTTTATTGGGAGTGCATGTACTCAGGGCTTGAGATCGCGGAAGCAGCAGGCGGTGCCCATGCTCATTATACTCATTTCGGGAGGGCTGCTGGCCTCAGACGCGGCTGGGGCTATTTTGGGGAGCTAGGGTCTAACACCAGCGTGGCATGGAGGAGCGGTCACCGCCATCCCGCCAGATCTTGAGAAACTGGGAGCTCTCTGGTGTCCAGGGGCTTGGGTTAGGCCCACTCTAAGCAGAGGAGCTGCATCTGGGGAAAAGGGTGGGGTGCTTTTGTAGCAAGCAGACCCTAGTACAGGCCTGGGTGCTGCAGGGCCCTAGAACTGCAGCCTAAAAGGTGTTCACAGCTGGAGCAGAGAATAAATAGAACTCAGAGTAGGAAAATAACTGATAAAGGAGGGTAGGCATGGGGGAGGTCCCTTTCCTGACTCACAGCAGGAGCAAGCCTAGGTGAGCTGTCACTATTTGCCCTGGAAGTGTCTATGAAGAGGGTAACCTGGGAGCAAAGTAGCAGGCAGAGAAGCACAGGATAGCCCAGATGAAGCAGAGAGTCAGAGTGGACCACATCCTTAGAGAATCCCCAACTTGGATCCCAAGTCCTGATCTGTTTCAAAACCTGTTTTCTGCCACCCAGGTCCCTCCCACTTGCTCCTGCCCCCTTCCCATCTCCATGTGCTCTAAAGCTGGGCTCCTCTGAGCACTGCTCTCAGGCCCCCAACTCCAGGGGTATAAGACACAGGAACAGAGTCTGGAATGAATGTCTGAGCTCTGAACCCACAGTCAATCACACCCAATCCCAACTCAGGGATCCCCTGAAGGTCACTCTAGGAGGAAAGGGTCTTCTCAGAGGAGGTGTCCCTGGATGGCTGCATAGAGGGTCTCACAGTGTTTGAATCAGTGTTTGGGTAGCAGTGCCCCAGAAGTCAGAGGGTGCACTTACCAGCAGTGGCTCTTGGCTTGGGTCCAGGGAGTGATGTCTGCCATTTCCCGGCTGCAGCTTTGGGCCCCCCCTTCTTACTGTGCATTCTCCTGGGAGATGGGTTGGAAAGGTCCAGTGAGGGTCTGCTCAGATTGGCCAAGGGCAGGGGCAGTGGGGAACAACATGACACACTGCCGTGGACAGTCAGCAGGAACACGGGCTCCCCAGCACAATTTCCTTGCCAGCATCCCGTCTGCCAACCTGCTTCTGGTTATCCTTGTGTGTCCAACAGTTTGAGTGGGGATGCTTGGGAAGAGCATCTGGCCATAGCTTGTCTACCCACCCCTTGCTTGCCCTCACCACTCCAGGCTCAGCCCATCCTGCTGGGTCCAGGGCCTGGTGTCCAGCACCCTTCTCTCTACTCCAAGTTGCTGGGCTGCTGGCAGGACAGCCTTTATTCTAACACACAAGCTTGAGCAAAACCCTCTGTGCTGAGGCCTCCATGCCTCTCCACTGCTCTTGGAACCAAGTTGACTCCTGAGTCTGGCCCCCAGCCCACCTGAGGCACTGCCTCCTCCCCACCCTCAGACCCACTCTTGTCCTGGCCATGGCAGATGATGTTATCAGACTCTGGAAGCAACTCCCCTCTCCCTAGTCCACATAGCTAGTTCCCAAGTTCATTTCCCCTGGGAGGCCTCTTCTGCCTGCTCCAGCCTGTCGGGATCCTCCAGGGTGTCCCAGAGCCCCTTGTCTACAACAGCACAATTGTTTGGGTGCTGGTCTGAGCTCATGTCTGTGTTCCCACCACACTGGCACCAGCGAGGTGTCACAGAGTGTTGGGGGAAGGAACTAATGAAACTGGGAATGACCCTGAAAACAGAGAAAATAGGATCACATGGCAAGAGGGACAAGGAGGAAGGTGACTGAAGACTGGCAAAAAGGGTTCAGGCAGGGACAGTGCTTGGGGTAGGAGTGGCAGGGGAAGGGGGAAGCTGGCTTAGACAGTTCAGTGCAGGGCAGGGCCTAAGTGGAGGGAGGGACCCCAGGCAAGGGCCTGAGTGGGAACTGGGGGGACTGGAGCACCTAGGTACAGCTGGGGGTGGTGGTGTACAAATTGATGTGAACATGGGGGTGTGTGTCAGTATGTGGGGCTTGATGGGCATTGTGGGTCCCCTGTCCGTATAGGGGGGCAGTTCTTGCAGTGTCCCTGTGTGTACCCATAAGGTCCTGTATGTATGAGGGAGGTTACCCTGTGCTTTCAGAATCAATGTGCATGGGGAACCGGTAGATGTGGCATGCCCTGTTTGTGTGTGAGGTCCCCTATATGTGTGGACATCCATGTGTTCATAGGCCATCAGCACGAGTCAGACTCAATGTGCTTGTAGGCCTCTGAGTTTGTGAAAAGGCTCCTGTGGTTGTGGAGTCGGTATGCATAGGGGAAGGTCCCATGTACATGGGGTTCCATATACAGGGCGTATCATTGTGTGCAGTGTTCCCTATAAGTGTGGGCGTCGGTGTGGGAGGATAATGGAGGGGTCGGCGGAAGGGACTGAGCGTGCAGCATCCCTGTGTGCCTCTGGGGTCCCAGCTATTTGTGGGCATCAGTGTGTGCACGGGCGGAGGGTGGGGGCGTCGGTGTTTGTAAGTCTCTGTGGGAGGAGTCTCCTACATGTGTGGGTATTGGTGTGGTGGGGGACCAGTGTGTGGCGAGGGCGTCCTCTGTGCTCATGGGGCCCAAGATGCTCCGTGCTGCCCCAGCGGCCTCACCTGCCTCCCCTAACTCGCCAAGGATCCCAGAGCCCCGCCCCTAGCGTCGGGCTGGCCTGTCTCCTAGCGACTGAGCCGGAACTTCCGAGTCACCCCAACTTCCGGGGCGAGGGTCAGGGGTCAAGCTAGGGACTTTGAGCCTTTGGTTAACAGATGGGCTCCTGGGGGCTCTGGGTCCTCGAAGTCCGGGCCTTGGTAGTCTCCGGCGGGGCTGGGCCAGAGTCTCAGGGCGCACGGCTCCAGGGCACGGACGGGTCCGGATGGGGGGCCGGGGTCGCGGGTTCGGGCCGGGGTCCGGGAGGCGGGGTCC